GAGCGACCTCTTGATATTGCAGTGGCGGGAATCATGGATGGAGTGATTCACGTTAATAAAGTAGTTAGTTTTTGCGTTTTAATAATTTCTGCGAAAAAATAGATTGCATTGCGCTTCCAAAAATAACACAGCATTTACCGCAACATTTCATACCAATGCAAAGTGTGTTTATTTCAAAACATATCACTCGTTGATCCCAATTTTAACGTATCAGCTAGCATTGATATTTTAATAGGAGCCGAGTCCTTCTGAAGGCTCATTTGCATGGGTCAGATTAAACAATCAAAGGCTCAACCGACATTGCAAAAGACACATTTTGGATGGATAATTTCCGGTGTCACACCAAGTAACCAGACCTGCTTCTTCTCTTAATTTTTATTTGAGCTCACTCTATGAATTAAGACTCACGTTAAATCGGTTTTGGAAAGTTGAGCATAACAGTACTGCTAACCTATTTTTCTCCAAAGAGAAGGTTTGTGAAGAATTATTTCTATAAGGAGTAAGTCGCAATTTAGAAGAGCGTTTTATTGTAAGCTGCCAATTAGGCAAGACAAACTGAGCAACTTAGGAGAATCCAAGGACATCGCTCTAAGACGTTTCAAATCTTCGGAGAAGCGGCTTATCACTCAACCCTGTATGTACAAGTACAAGAAATTCATGGATGAATATATACAGTTGAACCACATGAATGAAGTGGACAGTCACACAAAGCCAAGCCCAAGCTCTCTAGTCTTTTATCTCCCACATCATGCAGTACAAAATGAAGCAAGTTCCATTACAAAATTTCGGGTTATTTTTGACGGCTCATGCAAAACCACGACAGGACTATCTCTGAACGATTCGCTAATAGTGGGACCTAAGGAGTAGGCTCTACAAGAGCCTACTTTTTTCCATTATGATCAGATTCCGAATATTCAAAATACTCTCACTGATATAACAAAAATGTATCGGCAGGTTTTGATCGATTCAACTCAAACATCATTACAACGTATCTTCTGGCGAGAATCCCAAGACAAGCCCATTAAAACCTTTGAATTACTCACTGACTTATGACACTTTATCAGCATCATTTCTGGTTATCAGAGCCCTAAGAAAATTAGCGGAAGATAACGCAGATTGCGTATTCAAGTATATCACAAATAGCATTACGAGATTTCTATGTGGACGATCTCGTCACTGGGACCAATTCAGTAGAAGAAGCTTTGTCTATTAAGAGAGAAATCACGACATAGCTGCAAGAAGGAAAATTCGAGCTTAGAAAATGGTCATCCAATGCTCTCAGTCTTCAAGACCAAAACTCCTTCGTCGAGTAAAGAAAATTTATTCTATCCTCAGACAAAAATTTCGAAAAAAGAACGCTAGGCATTGCATGGGATTGCCGAGTCGACATATTTAAATATTCATCCATCAACTATCTGCTTCCTCTGGAAACACCGACCAAACGAAGTTTCTCACATATCTCTCTCATTTTCGATTCACTGGAACCCGGATGTGTTGGATTCGATTACATTACTCGCCAAGACTATCATGCAGGGTCTCTGGCGATTCAAGCTTGATTGGGATAAATTTATTCCCTTAGAATTGAATACCAAATGAAAGCGGTTTAAAATTGAGTTACAAGAACTGAATAATATACGCATTTCTCGCCTTGTCACAACTACAAAGCAACATACCTGTTTGGAACTACATGGATTCTCAGACGCTAGTGAAATTGCATACGGAGCATGCATCTATTTACGCTCCACTTCAGGCAATAGTGCACACGCTTACTTTGCTCCAAATCCCGAGTGGCACCATTAAAATGTTTGTCACTTCCGCGCCTCGAGTTATGTGTGTACATTGCTACTGGCTCAGCTCAGTACAATTTCGAAATATTTTATGCATCCAATATTCTTCATTTATCTATGGACGGACTCTACAATTGTACTCTATACTGTTGTGGTTGCAATCGTGCAGTCGATCATGATCAATCTTTGTAGCACACCGTATCGGGGAAATACAAGAATTAACATTTATTCATCAGTGGAATCACATACACAGTGAAGATAATCTACAGACCCATTATCACAAGGTATCATGCCGAGTTCTTTAATTCAATTAGATATCTGGTGGTCAAGGCCTTCCTTGCTGGGGCTTGAAAAGAGAGCTGGCCTCAAAGAGCTTTTTCTATTGATATAATCAACGTCCCTGAAGGAAAGCCTAAGGTCATCACCGCAGCAATAACTAGTACACAAGAATCTGACATATTTTATCGATATTGAAGCTTTACTAAACTCATTTGCGTCTTTGCGTACATGATTCGTTTCATAGAAAGATCCAAGGGTACTACATGCTCATCCAACCAATCTCAAGAGATTTCATCCTCGCGTAGTAACATCATGCAACCTATATCTTTGAACGAGCAGCAACAAGCAACTTTTCGTCTAATCAAGGCAATACAATCGAAGCATTTTTCAAAAGAAATAAAGTCACTCAACAACCACGAAGCTGTTCCCACAAACAGTCCTATCTTAAAATTGAATCCATTTCTTGACGATTCCGGCATCCTACGCGTGGGGAATCGTTTGAGGGAATCCTCTTTGCCTTGCTTCATCTAAGCATCCTAGGCTGTTACCTGGGAATCATCCATTTTTTCGCCTAATTGTGATGCATGAGCATGAGAAACACTTTCATGCCGGACCGCAAGTGTCTCTGACCACAGTGCGTGAGTGTTACTGGCTCATCTCAGCACGTAACATCATTCGAAAAATTCTCAGAAAATGCATTATCTGTTTTAAAAGTTCGTCAAAACTCACTTCTGCCATTATAGGAAATTTGCAGGAACCGCGGGTTAAAACCTCCCTAAGAATATTTTATGAATGTGAAGTGGATTATGCGGGTCCTCTCTATTATAAGGAAGATATTAGAAGAACCACTAAGCTAGTGAAATAGTACATTGCAATTTTTGTCTGTTTAGCCACCAAGTCCATATTGAATTGGCGTCCAATTTGTCATCAGAAGCATTTCTAAACGTCTTTAAGCGTTTCGTAGCAAGAAGAGGTTGCCCTTCAGACATTTTTTTTGACAACGGGCTAAATTTCGTACGGGCCGAACGCAAACTAGGCGAATTAAAAAAGATTTATTTCGTAATGAGCTAATTCAACAACAAATTCAGGATCAGACACACAACCCTAGGAGTTCACTGGCATTTTATACCGCCTCGATTCCCACACCATGGAAGTCTATGGGAAGCAGCCGTGAAGGGTGAAGGCAACCAAGCGACATTTGGCTCGCATAACAAGGAATGCTAACCTGAAATATGAGGAGTTGGAGACATTACTCATCCAGATCGAAGTAATATTGAACTCTCGTTCGTTCACTCCTATTTCATCGGATCCCAACGATTTCATTTCACTTATTTCGGGACACTTTTTAGTAGGTATACCTCTCACATCTTATCCCGAGTCATCTTTAGACGAGATAACCGTGAACTGTCTTTCACGATGGTAATATATACAACAATTGGGTCTACATTTCTGGAAGCAGTAGACATATGTGTATCTTCAACTATGCCAGAAATGAAATAAATGGCAGATAAATGAACTGTCTATACATGTCGGTCAAATGGTTGTTATCAAAGAAGACAACACCCCCATTATCACGGTTGGGAAGAATTTTAGAAATACATCCAGGATGACGTAGCTCGCGTTGCCACTGTGCATACCGCTAACGGCAGTTACAAACGGCCAATTACACGTCTCTGTCTACTTCCAATTGAGAACTAAGGTCTAGTTATGTCATTTAATATTTAACGTTTTCCATACTATTTATATTAACTACATATATTCTTTTTGTTAATTATATTTATAATTCTCAAGCATAATGTTATTTTTTTTGTCAATTGCAATCACTTACATATTGAAAGACGATTCTTTCAAGGGCGGCGGTATGTTTGCACTTCGCGCCTGCTAGGATAAGTAAGAAAACTCCGTCGGTTCAATATTTGCTTCTCTACTATGCTATAGCGCTTTCGTGGCGCTGCTTAGGCTAACGTGGCGCTGTTGAAGCCTATTGGGGGCAGGCCTATGTGCGGCCGTATGGATTATGGCTCGTTCGTTCGTTATTGTTCGGTGCGACGCCATCGTTAACGTACACGTGCGGATCGGTGTGTAAGCCGGTCATTTTTCTATCATTACGTATTATTGTAAAGTATGCTGTAAAAAGCAAACATTAAAGCTCATTTGTACAAGTTTGTTTCATTCGCGCTGCCGAAACCAATTCGGGCGTGGCTACAAGGCAAGAAGCACAAGCTTCAGTCAAAGAGAAAACTACGTTCCACATAACGCAAAAAAGGATACAGATCCTTTCCCCAACAGTTGTTAACTTCAACGATTAATATCTCGGTTTACAGGACAGAGCGAAAGTGATTTTTGTCACATTCGTTCATTTTGTGCAAAAACGCAAATGAATGAGCCTAATTTCGTCAAAATCGATGAGGAAGATAGAATTCTTGAGTATTACTAAAGTACATTTACTGTCAAGATGCGCGCGCAGAGAAGAATAGATCCGATATGTAGCGGATTGCTACATATGATAAATGTACGTAATGGATAGCACTCGAGTTAACAAGTAACAACATTTATTTAATACCAAATACAGTATCTTATCGCGAAGTTGTACAGTTATGATGTTGTGTATAAGGACGGTTCTAGAAAGAATGATAATGTATCCGACGACGGTTCTAGATGGAAGCTCGTTCTGGAAGAAGGAAAGTTCTCGAAGAAGTATCTAGGTGGGAAATTGAGTATAATATTTGTGAGAGCGCGCCATCTGATCGCGGAGTATGTATGTTTACATGAGTGCATGCGGCAGTATAACTGGAAGAGTGTGAATGGCATCTTGATCTTGACATGTACTCTCCGAGAGACTATGGATGAATAAGCGTAAATCATATTTTTTTAGGTTTATCACATTTTTTCTTTGATAATGTACGCCACGGCCATGTTTTCTGTTGTGGCTTCTTATGGCAATTCCGACACTTCATTTGCGTTGGGTAAAAAGGCGGGTTTCAATCTTTCTGTTAATAAGACAACATCACGGCCATTTATATGGATTACGTAAATCTGTTCGTTTTCCCTACATATCACTTTGTGTGGTCCGGTGTAAGGATGTTGGAGTGATTTTCGGATGCTATCTTCCCTGACGAAAACGTGTGTAGCTTGTTCTAGTTGCTGTTGTCGAAAGGCTGTCCGTTTTCCGTGGTGTTGCTTTAGTTGTGGACGGAGTTGTATACGTTTACGAAGGGCTATGACGAAGGTCTCCGTGTCTTCTGTGGGATCTAAGTTTTCTAGAAATTCTCCGGGTACTCTCAGCGGTGCGCCGTAGACTAACTCAGCTGGAAAGCATTTCAGATCTTCTTTCAGACATGTGAGAAGTCTTAGCAGTACTGTAGGCAATAGGTCGAGCCATTGTCTCCCGTCTTCGTGACAGGTTATGGAAGTTTTGAGGGTGCAGTGCCATCTTTCAATCAGGCCTGAGTGATAAAGAGACGTTCTTGTCTTCTTGCTGTCCAGGAATTTTGAAAGTGCTTGAAAAAGACTAGCCCCGAATTGTTTGCTTTGATCAGTAGTAATAACGACAGATATGCCAAAGCGTGCTACGCAGCCATCGATGAATGCTGCAGCAACTGTTTGCGCGGCCATGTTGGGGAGTGGAATGGCTTCAGGCCATCTGGAAAAGCGGTCAATCATGGTTAAACAATACCTATATCCTCTTATCTCTGGAAAAGGGCCGATGAGATCAAGATGAACTTGGTGGAAACGCTGATCTGACGTTGGAATCTTTTGAGGAATGTTTTTGGTGTGCCGTTGGATTTTGCTACGTTAACACTGAAGGCAGGTACGTATCCAATGAGTGATGTCTCTGTTGATTCCCGGCCAAACGAATTTTTGTCCAATTTGATGTTTGGTGACTCTGCCGCGTGATGTGCCATTCCATGCACGGCGTCGAAGATTCTTTTCTTCAGAGTTCTTAGGGCATAGGTCGTATGGCGCCTTTTGAACAGTCGCTGAAAGACCTGATGTAGATCTTTTTTACGTTGTTCCTCGTCTGTTGAGGCTACGAGCACGTCGTCTACGTAAACGAAACAACATTCTAAACCTTGTAAGATCTGGTTCATGAGTCGTTGGAAGGTTTGTGTTGCAGTCCTTAGACCGAAGGGCATGGTTACGAATTCGAATAGACCAAAGGGCGTAGTTACCGCTGTCTTTGGAATGTCTTCCTCGAGGACAGGTACTTGGTGATATACTTTAACAAGATCAAGTATGGAGAATATATGTTTACCGTGCAAGATGTTGGCGAGGTCATGTATGTGAGGCAGCGGGTATCTGTCTGGGGTTGTCATCGCGTATAAGTCTCGGTAATCCCCGCAAGATCTCCACACTTCGGATTGCTTCTTTGGTACCAGATGCAATGGTGCCGCTCAAGGGCTATTGGAAGGTCGGCAGATGCTGAGCTGTACCAAATTTGCGAATTCTGCTTTTGCAATTCTCAGTTTGTCTGGCGGTAGTCTTCGCGATCGGCTGGCAACTGGAAGACCTTTAGTTTGGATGTGGTGAAAAATTCCATGTGCTCTGTTTGCCGGTAACTGTGGTTTCTTAGTGATTCTCGAGTAATCCGCCAGAATGTGATGGTATGTTGAAGTGGAATCGATCGTTTTGATGGAAGCGTAGGTAATCTGTCGCTTAAAACCTGGGACATTTAGTTGCGTTACTTTATCGATAAGACGCTTACCTTGAATGTCCATTATAAAGCCGTAATGTTTGAGTAAGTCTGCTCTTATGATCGGATGTGAGACATCGGCCATGATTGGTCTGCGTATTCCAAAGTCTAGCGTGAGTATCTTTTGTCCATACTTGACCTGTGAGCCGTTGGCGGCATATAGAACGAGTGTAAGACTGTTCTCTTGATTCTCGACAATAAAAGCAAAATATTCGTGTCAATATCGATGAGAAAGGTTAGGCCTGTGATTCTGTCGGTAACGTGGAGCCGTGAGGGTAGCTCAAGACCGTCGTTGGCTCCAATTGACGGCGGTCTTATTCGTTTCCCTGGCTAACTTTTGCTTATGTGCTACAAGGTATTGTGCACTTGCGCGCCTGGTCGCCGAATCTCCGATGGTAATAAGACTGACTTGCGTCCTTCGTTGCGGTATTGTGCGTATTGCCCGGATGTCGTATGCGGCTTCTGCTGCGGGACCTTGATCGGGGTCGTTTGGCCAGTTTGTCTACCCGAGTTGACAATGTAATTGTCTGCTTGATCAACTGCTGAATAGCGTCTTGGTAGTTTGTTGGCGTCGCCTGGGCTGCATGTACATCTACCGAAGAAGAGTCATGAAACTTGTTGGCGCAATCCGCTAATTTGTCTAGGTTGACGCCATCAATTATATCAGAAACATCTCCTGGATGCGTGTGGGCATGCGTTGTTGCTAGAGGGCCTTCGGCGTTCTCTCCTGCGAGAGTTTTCATTTCTCATAGAAGTTGCGAGGGTTTCTTGTCACCGAGCTCGATGCCCAATAAGAGCGTTCGCATTTGCTTCTCCTGTGAATCTGTGAACCTAGTAATCAATGACTCTTTAAGTTTATCGTACTTATCGTTTTGATGTCTGACACGATCATCAAAGTGGCTTCGTCGAGGTAGCGTACGACCGCGTTGTACTTAGCCTCGTCCGATCTGACACGATAGGCGTAGAACTCGGATTCGAGCTGTGAGAAGCACAACTTTGGGCGGTTCCTCCAGAACGTGGCCAGTTGGACGAATCTGAATTCCGCCCCGAATTCCTCGTGCCGGGGCACTGTACGTGGTGCCTGGTCTTGCGTGCGCAAATTCTCCTCCCGAGGATGTGTCAGCCGGGAGGTTTGGCGGCGACGTCCTTGATAACGACATGCATGCACGTGCTCACCGTATGAGTAGTAATGGCGGACGATCGTAAGGTCTGTTGATCACGTGTGATCGCGTCTGCAGATCACGTCGGGGTCATCAATTATGTAGCAGATTGCTACATATGATAAATGTAAGTAATGGATGGCACTCGAGTTAAAAAGTAACAACGTTTATTTAATACCAAATAATCTTATCGCGAAGTTGTAAAGTGATGATGTCGTGTATAAGGACGGTTTTAGAAGGAAGCTCGTTCTCGAAGAAAGAAGGTTCTCGAAAGAGTATCTAGGTGGGAAATTGAGTATAGTATTTGTGAGAGCATCATCTGGTCGCGGAGCGAAAGCGCGCCATCTGGTCGCGGAGTATGTATGTTTACATAAGTATGCGGCATGAAGTATAACTAAAAGAGTGTGAGTGTATCTCCACAGATATTTTGCCTCTCGCATCGTTCTGCCGAACTCAGATATATATAGCTAATGTTGGGTCTATCTTATATGTCTATCTTATATGTCTTCTATGCACTAACCATAAAATATACTGTAAGAATCAACCAATCACAATTGAGAATTCTTTTGAACTCTTAATTCTAATTGGCTGATTCTTACAATACGTCTTATGGTTACTGTTACAGAAGGTGAGTGCCATGGTCTTAAAGGTGAACGGACATAGAAGTAGAAGTAAGCAGTAAGACGTAAAACCGCCATTTTTATACGTAGGCTGCTGGAAAAGAATCTGCAATCTAGTACTTCCAGTGGCGTCAACGTTCTGCTACTATCCGTAAAATTAGACGTTTTTAACCTATAATTCAATTGACAGTTTGTACCCAAGCCAACTAGTTTCGTTTGTACAGTATTTTAAAAGAAGTTATTTTGTAAGAAAATGGAAATTTCGCGTGAAAATTTTCGGACAATGATTTTTTATCATTACAAATGTAATCTAACTCCGAAACAATGCATCGATCGACTTCATTTGACTTTTGGGGATGAAGCACCATCCAATAGGACTGTTTATAATTGGTTTGGACATCAGGGTATCTTTCCGTAGTTCCAATAAATTGAAAAAATACATCAAAGTACAGAAAAATATTTGTCCACATACATCGAGGAACAACGTGGTCTACAAGATTTCATGTAATGTAACGCGTCATACGTGGGACAGACGAGTAGAAAATTAAAGACCAGGATTGCTGAATATCGCAATCACATTAGATACAACACTTCTGGTCGTTCTGTCATAACTGAGCATAGGAGACAGCTTGATCACGAATTTAAATGGGATAAAGTCGTAATTTTAAACGAAGAGCCTTGCTATCGGAAACGTTTGGTTTCAGAGATACTTAATATCAGAAAGCAGAAGAATGGTCTCAATTTACAAACTAACACCGATGGCCTTTACAAGACTTATATTCCCATCATAAATAAAGTTTGACTTTCTGATACTAACAGTCCATCTCTTCTCTCAGTCTATGTTGTTCCGCACTACTGAACGTACATAATAATCGACACGTAATGTCTGGTTTACACATCTGCGTTCCTTCTTTCTGTATATTTCAAAAGTTTTTTATTCCTTTTTGGACATGCTCTTTTGAATTTGTTACATATGAGTTCTGGTGAGTTTTTATTATATTTCTTATTATTTTTTATTAGATTTCCGGTATGTCAACTTATTTACGCGTGGAATGTTTTTATAGTACGCTTTTAATTTATCTTTTTATCAACTAGAGCTTTGCCAAGATATCTTTAATACATTTGATGGTTCAATCGTACGGATATAATGTTGAACTCGACATCAAGACTCATCCAAACTGTGAATGTTCTGTATATGCGATCATTTGCGTTAATTGATTTCATTCTGCGATTTTTTTCGTTATGTTAATGTCTGAAGAAGGCTCGATCCGGTAGCCGAAACTTGTAATTATTTTCGTAATTTCGATTCTAATTTTTGCGTTATGTAAATTTACCTCTGTTAATTATATATTTTTTTGTTAATTTCAACGAAATGTATTGACTCTTACTTTGCCGATTACTTATTATTATTTGTTTTGTATAGGAAGAGTCCTTCGATTTGTTATTTATAATTGGTTTGTCGAATTCCAGCGTGGATGTACCTTTCTTAGTGATGAATTCCGTGAAGGTCGTCCATCCACGTCTGTTGTTGCCTATAACTAATGTTGATGCTGTGCGTGAAATGATTGAGCGAGACCGGCATATAACATACCGCGAGATTCAGACATCCTTAGGCATTGACATGAAAGCAATACATACGATTTGGCATGATCACTTTAGCGTACGGAAACTTTGCAGTCATTGGATCCCACACAATTTGACCGAAGCTCAAAAACAGGCTCGTGTTAAATGGAGCAAAGAAATGCTCAAGAAATTCAACCGAAGTCGGTCAAATTTGGTCTACAACATCGTTACTGGGGATGAAAAATGGATCTATTCATATGAGCCCAAAAGTCAACAACAATCCACTGTTTGGGTATTTCAAAATGAACCGAAACCACAAAAGTTGTTCGTTCATGCAATGCTGCCAAGCAAATGATTGCTTGTTTCTTCGGTTATACCGAACATGTGACAACCGTGGCTTTAGAGGATCGAAGGACTGTAAATACTGATTGGTAAACAACAATTTGTTTGCCAGAAGTCATAAATGAATTGAACACACAGAAAAGTTCAATCGGTTCAACAATAACGACATCAGGGTTTCTTTCCGTAGTCCGAACAAACTCAAAAAATACATCAAAGTACACAAAGATGTTTATCCGC